GTCCAAGTTGCTACCCATTCGTTGGAAGTTGGAAATAATGTTTTATGTTTTTACATGATGAAGTTTATGAATTTAAGGGGTTCCAAAATGTTTACATCAACAAGTTCGTAACCGAAAAGTTCTAAGTAACGGAAAAGCCATGATAATGCGGACGCACGTAGGTTTAGCCTGGTAATCCTATGAATATAACAATATGAATATACTACGAGCTCTAAAGTTAGAGGGCAACGTACTTACCTTTAAACGCAGGATTTGACAAAAAGTACGGGATGAACAAACGGACGACAAACGATGAACGAACGGATGAACGGATTAACGATTTCACACACAAACTTTCTACTCTTCTTCCTTTTTCTTCGTCTACTCGCCGGAACTCCCTCCTTGGTCTGCCGCTGCTTGGCCAAAACACAAGAGAAGGGTAGAGGGAGAGAGTGTGTTGAGTGCTTTGGGAGTTACAAAATGGTAAGAATAGTGGAGAGGGGATGGATATATTAATAGGGAGTAATGATGGTGAGTGAATATGGGGAGAGGAGGGAGAGAGTGGCGTGCGATTAATATTGGGGAGTTACCTCCCTAAATTTGTTCCGTTGAGTAAAATATGACCTGAACGGTACGCGGTTTTCCCCGTAAACTATTTTGAATTAAGATCACTTTGCGTTTTTGGAATCAGACAGTCATGACGAATATTATGACGTGACCAAATAATTTTTTAGGGATTTTATTTTTCCCAAACCCGGTCTGAGTTGGTAATTAATTAATCAAATTAATCAATTCTAATAGACAGGGCGTTACAAGCCTCAACACAAGAGCTCGTAGATGTGCCGTCTACAAGACTTCACACCAAAGAAGACTTAAGTCACATAAGTCTCGTACAATAAGAAGAATAACCTTCTTCAATCTCACACCAAAACTCTCACAAGAGTTAAAATGAGAAAATGATTAAGCTATATGGATGACAAGAACATTCTCTTGAAAAATAAATAGTTTTCTCTCAAAATAACTTATATATGAGGAAGGAATTAATGGAGGATTAAGACTACAACAAAGAGGTATTTTTAGAGTATTTCAAGTGTCCAAAATGACCGAGGAAGAGGGGTTTAAATAGGGTAAAGAGAATATGTCCGTTGGTCCAAGAAAAGAAGTGAAATATGAAAAATAATCAGAAGCAAAAAAAATCAATTTTTGCTAAGATAAAAAATCGATTTCTAGAGCAAAAAATGCACAGACAGGATAAAAACATGCATGTGCGCGGGGATAAATCATTTTTGTCCAACTCCTCTTGTTTCCAACAAGATAACATGGTGAAGGAGGCTCCCAATCACCTCAAACAAAAACACATACATACAAATCAATTGGGACTCAAAATACATACAAAACATGAAATGATCTCATTGCATTTTTCACCAATCTCATTGCGTCCAAATGATCTCAAAATACATACAAAACATATAAAACCAAGCATAGGACGCTCTATGAAAATAACACAAAAACTTAAAATAAAATGTAAATATTTAATTCAATTGGACTTAAAACTACTTCAAAATATGCCTAAAAGTGTATACAATATGTGCATATCAACTCCCTCACACTTAGGCTTTTGCTTGTCCTCAAGCAAAATAAACTACAAATACAATCTTTACATGATCTCTTGGAATTTATATACATAACTATGTAAATCACACAATCTTCTCACTTTTGTCTACCAAATAATCCAAGACCCATGAAATGTCACAAAATAATAAAATGAAAGTAAATTGAGCAATATTACTAATCCTAGAAACTTTCATGTTAATAATCTAATAAAAATACTTATAATACTAAACTAGCTAGTTAAAGTACGTAATACAGACCAAGTTTCTCTGATCTAATTATTTCTAAAAGTGACAAAAAAATAACAATTAGGATTTTTATTCGACTTGTAACGGGGCTAAGGGTAATTGGGTAAACAAAGAAAAGGTATAAAGGACAAGCAAAAAGAAATAGATTATACTTATTTTTATCGGGGACTAAAAAATTACTACAATGTAACTATGGAGTAAGGTAAACAAATGACTCTAAAATGAGAAATGACAAAAATTTTACAAAGAATACAATAAACATTGCGGGCTTTTTTTAGATGTGTTTTTGTTAATGCCCAAGAAGAATAAATTCTAAAAATCTCAAGAGTTCAAGATTAGTGTGCTTCTTCTCTTCTTTTTTTATACTTTTTTTTATTTTTTTGTGCTCTTTTTTTAACTTTTATTTTAAATTTTTTTATTCCTTTTTTAAAGCACACTAAGTTATTATTATCTTTACAAAGAGAAAGAATGTACAACTTTAATAGAAAAGAAAAAAATTTCATACTCAACTTATTTACAAAAGTTTATAGTGCTCTAATTATTTTCTTTTTCAAGTTCCTTCTCAAATAATAAAACAATCTACTATAGGGTGGAGAGATAATTTATTTTGGCTAAATGGTTTAGATTTAAATATTTACAGGGTAACAAGAAAAAAATGACGACAAACAAGAGATAAGTGATAACACTTATTTACGGAAAAAGGCTAAAAAGGGGACTAGGGATTTTTTTGAATTGGGTATGCTTGGTTTGAGAGGTTAAACAAAGATGGCATATACCATGTCTAAATGTGCCAAATTAAAACATCATTTCATTGAGAACAAATGTGAAAAATCATGGTCTGTAAAAGTTATATATCTATGTTTAACTAGTAAACCAATAAATTAGAAAAAACTATATAATGTTCTATATTAAATTATTAACAGAAATTAACTCAAGGCTCTGACACAATTAATCTCAAAATGTTATAATGAAAAATTCTCAAACTTATACCACATTCCGTCAAAAGAGATGATTTTGTAATTTACGAAACTATGTTTATAAATATTAACAAGGCATATAAACAAAGAATTTGTACATTCAATTTTGCTTTTTGGATCAAGGCTATTCATCATTCAACATTAACACACAAAAACAAAACAAAAAAGGAAATCAATTTTTTTTAAAAATGCAAACAAATAATCAGATTTGATCTACCCACTCCCCCGCACTTAAAATTTACAATGTCCTCATTGTAAAAAAAATGAAGAAGAATTAAGTAAACAACTTCTAACATATGACAAATTGGATTTTATGTACATGTCGTGAATTGTGGAACGTCTTATTGAAATCTAATTGCCTTATTAAAAAAACACAGAATTTGAAAAGTTGGGTTGCCTCCCAAGAAGTGCTAATTTAAGGTCTTTAGCTTGACCAATGCAATCACTCATATTCTGGTATTTCGAAGAAATAGAGTAGCATTCCCTCTTGGTGATCGTTGGCAAAATAACGTTTAAAACGTTACCCAATGACTTTGGTTTCTAAATAAACCACAACCATATTTTGACGTGATTAGGAAGAAAATTTTAAGGGGGGGATTTTAAGGGCGGGGGCCGGGGGAGATTAAAGCAAATGTTTAGAGCATGTGCAATGGTGAGGCACAAATAGAATGTCACACGATAACGTGGAACATTTCAACCAATCAAAAATAGTCCAGTAGCGTGTGGCAAGTGAGTGGAGTAGCATGTTATGCAGTGGCAAGTCATTGTTTTTTCATTTTCACACTTTTTTATGTATTTTAATTATTAGAATTTTTTTAAAAAATTTTCCCAAAAAAACTGATGTACTTTTTCAATTAAATAAATATTTTTTGTATAATTTTTTGTGTGTTTTTGAAATAAAAATAAATAAAAGATAAAAAAGGGGAGATTATGCCTTGCACATGCCTTGCATATCATGGAGGAATGCCTCTCCCATGCGTGGCAATACCAATTTTAAGAGCATGCGCAGCGGCGAGGCATTTCCTCGCTCGCTGCGCCACATCAGCTCCCTCGGCACTTTTGCCTCGCGTGGCTTCAGCCTCCCTCCACACCAAGCGTGTGAGGCGCGAGGCATCCTCAATTTTTTTTAATTTTTTTAATTTTTTTATTTTTTAGAAGAAATAAAATTTTTTAAAAAAAGAGTACATCTATATAAAAAAGATAAATGAAATAATTTTTAATAATTAAAATGCATTAAAAAATCATAAAAATTGACAAAAACAATGACTTGCCACTGTGCGAGATGCCTCTCCACTCACTTGCCACACGCTGACTGGATTGTCTTTTATTGGTTGAAATGTGCCACGTCAACGTGTGGCATTCCATTTCGTTACTTGCCATTGCCCGTGCTCTAATGCAAACTAATCCTATGTGGCATGGCATGACAGTCTTTAGACTCGCCATTGCGGTTCATAGCGTACCAGATTCCCAGCAGCAACGCTTCCAGCCTGCAAATAAATGTACTCGTAGAGACAGACAAAGAATATGAGGCCAAAGAAACAAACAAATATGAGGCCAAAGAAACACTTTTTATGGCCACTTCTCTCTCACATGGTGAATTTGTTGTCATACACTACATAAATTGATGTTAAACAATTTATCGATAATCAAAGAGAAAAGCATAATCATATACACAAAAAAATTGACGGAGAGAAGACCATATTCGTACAAAAAAATCACATAATCATCAATAAATTCATTATAGTTTATTGGGGATAGAGAAGAACTAACCTTAAGGGCTTGAGACGACGGAAGGAAGTTGGAGAAGAGAAGAACCTGCGTGGACAGAGGAGAAGATCGAGAAGATGAACCTCGTACGGAAGAATAGAAGATCGACCAATCTAGCTAATGCCAAGTCGAAACAACATCCCCTAGCTTTTGATTGGATTTGCAAACAAGTTTTTTTTTATTTATACTTCAAGTTAAAAATCCTTCACAATCCATTTCTTAATGCTATCATTGAAAATCTATTAATTTTTCAATATAATTAGATTTACAAAGATTTTTTAATATCTCAATTGAATCCCTCTAGATTTTAAATGAATTCCTAAAATCTTAATTGAATACTCATTGATTTTTAAAATTCAAAAAAATACTACATAGTCTGAATTGAATACACCCCTAAGTCTCTAGAGATCATATACAACCAAATGCGAACAATATATTTTCATGCATGAAAAGCACATAGTCTGATGTGCAGATTTTAACAAACTTCGTATACATTTTATCTTCTTTTTTTTGGCCTTTTAAGAGGCCACACAATGAAGGAATTCACAAACGTTCACAACCTGCGATTCATAAACTGTGTTAATAACAAAAAATCATTCACATTCACTAAGCCTTGACAAGTACATAATCAGAGTTTAGGAAACAGAGAGGCCAAGATCCAACCCAAAGCTCCAATAGTGATATCCTGAACACCATTGCCACCTTTGACATGCGTGTCTACTCTCTTGTTCGTATTCGAATGCTTCTCCCTGTTTTTGGGTTGTTTCTCATTGCTTTTTCCACGACTGATTTCTGGTGCCAACTGTTTCTCATGGAGCTCCTCATTCGGGGTCCAAGTTGTGTAACGGGTCTGCAAGTGTTGACTCACTAACTTGTTCAATAGCAGTAGTTGGGATTTGAGTGCGCCCGACTCTACTTGCCAACTCCCTCTCCATCCACTCCATGATTTCGTTTGTGCGCTCTTCATCATCCACAACCATGTTCGCCAATACTTGGAAGTTCTTGCACAAATCATCATAACGTTGTTGTTGAACAGTACAAACCCACCCATCGTAGTCTATCTTAACACGGGTGTATGCCCGCTGCACATCACGTCTCCACCGATGTAGAATGTACTTCTCCGGCAAAAAACTCACATCATTTCGGATGAGCACGACTATGCAATGCCTGCAGATCGTCCCTCTAAACTCAAATAAGTGACAAGTACACTCCACCTCCTTTGTACGCGAGTCAAAGAGGACTTGGAATGACTTCTTCATATCAAGCCCATTGATGCACACGTCCTCCACTTCGTAAACGGATCCACCCACTGTGCTAACAATATCACAATAAACTTTCCCGAAAAGTTCTGTCTGAAACTCTTTAAATTTACAAAGAGTATATACCTCCTGAACTTGTTTCTCCATCTCATACGTTGTCAAACACGGGATCATTTTTGCAAAGGAACTGGCATCAGCTTGGAGCTCCATTTCTACTTTTTTCCTCAAAGCACGCTCGTACTGTACCACAAATTGCTTGAGGGTAGTTTTCGCATGCACGTAGCCATCAAAGAAAGCATTTATACTTTCATTGGGCTGCGCTGTGGACATACCTGCAGAAAGAGAGTTACTAATTTACTATAACAGGTTACTAATATAGGCACCGTATGATTAGCAGAAATTATTATGAACAGCAGATGCAATTACTGTCTGTTTATTTTTGTTCGACAGAGAGTAATTGTCTGTACTGAGAAGACAAAAATATTGGCCTAAAAAAATACCAGCCCAAAACGATTTCTGCAAAAAACATGGAACCCATCGAGCTCTGGCAGCATACATGTCCCCTAACCACGTATGATCATGAAGGCCCATGTTCTCAATCATTTCTTTCCACCGTAATTCAAATTCATTAATTACATGCACATCGTATACGAGCTCATGAATGTTAGCCATGATATGAGTTGTAGCTAACATGCCTTCCAACTTTTCAGGTAATTTTTTCAAAATATGCCAAAGACACCAACGATGTTTAGTGTGAGGAAACACAATAGAAATTGCATTTTCCACGGCCCTGTTTTGGTCTGTAATTATGCCTTGAGGTGGAATGCCATCCATGCATTGAAGCCATGTCTTGAAAAGCCAAACAAATGAGTCAGTATCCTCCTGTAAGATTAAGCCGCAACCAAGAAGTATTGATTGTCCATGATGGTTTACGCCAACAAACGAAACCAACGGCGTGTCATACTTGTTAGTCAAGTATGTAGTATCGAATGTTATGACATCACCGAAGTATGTATAACACCGTCGACACCTATTATCTGCCCAAAACACATTCCTCAGCCTTGACTCCTCGTCAAAATCCAAGCTGAAGAAAAAACCGTTATTCTTAACTTGCATTCTATTAAAGTAACTCTGTATGGCCATTGCATCTCCTGCACTGAATCTTAGTCGTCTTCCCTCTTCAACATAATTCCGGCAATCATTCTCTAATAAGCCAACCTGTTCATATCCACCCGCTTGCACAATAGCTGACTGGAAACTCTTATGAAGGGAAGTTTCTGGCATCGCATCAACTTCAATCTTCTTTTTAACATATGCAGGCGAGTTACGATTACATCGATATAATCTGGATTTTATATGACTAAAACTATGGTTATGCACTAACTGCACAACAGAAATCCTCCACACTCCATCCCCATCGCACGAAGCAGTTACTCTTGCTTCACATCCCAATTGCATCATTGGCTTTGGGTGCAACACATTTTGTGTTTTCCTCTTTTTACTCCCTTCTCTACAACACACAAATGTCACGCTCCTAATAGTTCCTTCCGCGCTCTTGCGCGTCGTTCTAGTCCGAATTGGAAATCCTACACTTCGAGCATATGCCAAGTAGTGTCCCCGAATTTCTTCAATGCTAGAAAACTTCATCCCAACTACAGGTACGTTATGTCCTTCGGTAGAGCACCCGCCACTGCTCTCCACTAACACATCGTCATTCAACAAATCTACAAAGTGAGGAAAACAAAGAAACAAATCAGGCAGAATGTTTCCAACACAACCTACGACGATATATGCATCCACTGTCATACAATGCAATGTCACCCAATTACAAACTACATTCAGGCAATAATCATCTGTTGTAGAAACAAACCCTAGATTCACATCAAACATGTGTAACAAGAATACAAAAATGACAGAATACCAAGAAACAATTCAGGCTAATGTCGGTAACACAAGCTACAAACATTTATAAGTATAGTAGTAAAATCCAATATTCGCCCAAATATTCAGTTCTTGAAATAAATTCAAGTTCAATCTTTGCCAGAGTATTCAGTTCAAAACAATTAAAAAATAACTAGTTAGCAATTGCGAAACTAATTTTTCACTGTGCAATTATCATACCTAAAACCATGAAAAGCTGTAATTATCAATGGTACAAGTGCAAAATCAGAGAGAGAGAGAGGAGAAACTGACATCGTTCAGAACCAGGGTCACCATGAGAGACGAGAGAATCGAAGCGAGCAGACAAACGAGCACTATGTTCGGCCTCGGCAGCCTCCTCCCGGAAGCTGCGGCCCTTTGTTTTCTTCGGGGCAGATGAGTCGCCGGGAGTGGACCCGATCCCGGGAATGGGAGCCCTGGGGGAAGCATCGATGTCTTCTTCCATCAGATTGTCGTCTTTGGGGTCGAACTCCACAGCCTCCGAGTTTGCCCTTGCTATGTTGTTATGTATGTTGTGTGATCCACCCTTCTTTTACTGGTAGTAGGTGTGGCTGGGCATAAAGATCTTAGCTGTACCCCATTTGACCCCCACCGGCCACCACCTTCGTAATTATTCATTTCAATTTAATTTGGAAAATGCTAAGGGTACACCAAAGGTATACCCTATTTGTCTCCCACCCCCTCCATAACCACTCAAATTGGCAAGAAAATTTAAAAAAAAATAAGTATATAAAAATAAAATCAAATTGAGTGGTGGAGAAAGGGGTGTGGGACAAATGGGGTACACCTTTGGTGTACCCCTAGCATCTCCCATTTAATTTTTATTTACTTAATTTTTTTTTAAATTTTTTACCTATTTGAGTGGTTATGTAGGGGGTGGGGGACAAATGGGGTAAACCCCCTAGCATTTTCCAAATCATAATTACGCCAGACCGACCCAAAAAGGTTTGCAAATGGAGTCTTGGCCGGGCTGGGCCGGGCTGGGCCGAGTCGTGCTTAAACTAAAATTAGGAGTGCTCAATCAATCCCGAAATTTCTCGAAAAAAAAGGAACATAAAAAAATTAACAAACATTTAAAATACTACGGAGTATATGGTTATCATTCATTGTCTTTTGTTTGTGGAATATTGTTACGCATGGAGAAGCCGCAGGTCCCGTATGGCGCAAGACTTGGTTTGGGAATTGGTTTCCTATTTTATGTTTGTTACCTAAGTTGTTTAGGTTTCCTTGTTTGTGTTATTTTATTCCTACTAGGATTTGGAGTTTTCCTTCCCTATATAAGCAAGGGAAGGCTATTGTAAACACACACAGAATACAATTCTCTTCTATAATTTCTACATGGTATCAGAGCCAGGTTCTTTGGACCTCCTAACCAAATTCTAAAAAAAATCAGAAAAAAGAAAGATGGCAGAGCAGAACCCCAAACTCGCAGAGATTACGTCCAAGAAGGTCGTTGTCGCTGACAACGAAGAGCTAAGAATAAAGGCGAGTCCATATGATCTAAAATCAGTGGATACGCCGGGCCTGTTGATTACACAGGTAAAACTTAACGGAAGAAACTATGAGGAATGGGCAAGAGCTATGAGAATAGCTCTTCGCGCCAAACGGAAGTTTGGATTCATTGATGGGTCAATTCCGTGCCCGGAGGACGATACAGAAACAGAAGAATGGTGGATCGTGAACGCCATGCTCGTGTCATGGATCTACAACACAATAGAAGCAGACCTGCAAACTCTATCACTCAGGTAGAGATCGCGGCCGACCTATGGAACGATATTAAGGCCAGATTCTCCGTAGCAAATGGCCCGCGAATCCATCAGTTGAAGAAGGAATTGGCTAATTGCAGACAAAACGGTCAAGAGATCGTGAAGCACTACGGCAAATTGAAGACTATATGGGACGAACTGTATGAGCTATTGAAGGTATCGGCATGCAAGTGTGGAGGATGCAAGTGCGGATTGACATCACAATTGGAGAAACAGCGAGACGAAGAGAAGGTCCATCAGTTTTCGATGGGGCTCGACAATGAAGGCTACGGCAGCCTACGATCCAATATTCTGAGCACTGAACCTCTCGCTCCAATAAATCGTGTTTATTCTATAATAACACAACAAGAGGAGGTATTAAAGATGACAGTGGAGGAAGAACGTAACCCGGTGAGCTTCGCGGTTGCGACGGGAAGACCCTCACGCGACAACAACCTGAAGTGCAAGCATTGTGGTCAGACCGGACATGAAATCAGCGGGTGTTTCCAGATTATAGGATACCCCGAATGGTGGGCAGACCGCCCACGCAACCAAGGCAGTGGACGCGGAGGAGGACGCGGGGGTGGTTTGGCCCAGAATGGCAGGCGTGGCAGGTGGGGCGGATCGGCTGGTCGTGGCAGTAGCAACCGTACCGAGGAGAAGAACAATGAGAACACTCCCTTCGCCGGCCAGACTAACGTACAGATTGAAAATCAATTTTCAGGTACAAACAATTGTTCTTGGATTATCAATAGTGGCGCTAGCCAGCACATGACAGGAGAAAAGAATTGGTTGACGAACATACGACCCGTTAATGAATGTAAAGTGGGTCTTGCCAATGGTGAAAGTGCAGAAGCCAGCAGCAAAGGAGATGTCCAGCTGAATAATTCCTTAAAACTTACAGATGTTCTATTTGTGCCTAAACTCAACTGCAATTTGCTTTCTGTCTCTCAACTTCTTGGTGATAAAAGATTACTTATCCAATTCACTAACAAAACTTGTGTTATCCAGGACTTTATCTCGAAGACGGTGATTGGAATGGGTGAACAAACTAGTGGCCTGTATTATTTCCAGGAAAAAGTGCATGACAAGGCTTGTGTGGCTCAAGAGACGAAGGACGTTGCTGTTTGGCACAGACGCCTGGGTCATCCGTCTCCTGAGATCTGTCGTTTTTTACCTTTTCTTTCTACTTCATTTCAAACTTCTCTTTCACCATGTGATATATGTTTTCGTGCGAAACAATGTCGTGATTCTTTCCCTACTAGTTCCAATAAAACAAATGTTCCGTTCTCTTTAATTCATTGTGACTTGTGGGGGGGCTATAGAACGCCTTCTTGTACGGGGGCTAAGTTTTTCTTGACAATTGTGGATGATTTTTCTCGTGCAACCTGGGTGTATCTTTTAAACCACAAAGATGAAACATCTAGCGTTCTGCGCAATTTTCTTTCTCTTGTCCAGCGCCAATTTGATTCAAATGTTAAACGCATTCGTAGTGATAATGGGACGGAGTTCGCGTGCATGAAACCTTACTTTGCTTCCGCTGGGATAATCTTTGAATCTTCTTGCGTTGGAACTCCCCAACAAAATGGGAGAGTCGAAGGTAAACATAGACATATTCTTAACATCGCACGTGCGCTCCGCTTCCAAGCCAATCTCCCTATCTCCTACTGGGGTGACTGCGTTCTTACCGCGTCTTATCTTATAAACCAAACTCCCACAACACTTCTCCAAGGCAAAACCCCATATGAACTTTTCTTTGGTCAAACACCCTCCTACACCCATCTCCGTACTTTCGGTTGTCTCGCATATGCCCACAACCAAAACCACGGAGGTGACAAATTCGCCAGCCGCTCACGTCGTTGTCTTTTTCTCGGATATCCCTACGGCCAAAAGGGATGGCGATTGCAAGACTTGGAAACAAACAAAATCTTTGTAAGTCAGGACGTCAAATTTGTTGAGACCTCTTTTCCCTTTATCCCTACTCCTGAAAACTCGTCCCATCCGTCATCGTCTTTGACATCAGATGCTCTCGTCGATGACGATGACTGTCCTCCACCTACTCCACCAGCACAAATACCTAACCAAATTCCCGCCGATACAACTTCTTCATCTAAGCTGCCCATTCCCGAACCACCCTTACCTGAACCGCAACCCCCACCCGAACAGCAACCACTGCCCGAAAGTGAAACCTCACCCGAGTCCAACAACTCCCAGATCGCGGACCCCACTGGCCAGTGCCGCAGTACTCGTTCTCGTCGACCTCCATCACATTTACAAGACTATGTCATGCACACCATCCACAGTACGCCAGCTTGCTCTTCCGTTCCACTCCCGTCTTCAGGTACTGCTCATTGTATAACTAAATTTGTTAGCTGTGATAATTTCTCTTTTTCCCATAAAAGTTTTTTGGCAGCAATTAATACAGATGAGGAACCTACTAAGTTTTCTGAGGCGGTTAAGCACACACACTGGCGAACAACAATGCAAGAAGAACTCGATGCCTTACATGCTAATGGAACATGGTCTTCGGTACCTCTTCCCCCCAATAAAAAGGCTATCGGGTCGAAGTGGGTATACAATATCAAACACAGGCTATCGGGTCGAAGTGGGTATACAATATCAAACACCGGTCTGATGGAAGCATTGAACGATACAAAGCCCGCTTAGTGATTCTGGGAAACCGACAGAAAGACGGAATCGATTATAAGGAGACTTTTGCCCCTACGGCCAAGCTTGTTACACTTCGTGCACTCTTGGCCGTTGCGGCTGTTCGTGGATGGAGTCTTCATCAAATGGACGTGCAGAATGCATTCCTTCATGGGGATCTTAAAGACGAGGTCTATATGAGGCTCCCTCCTGGGTTTGATTCTCGTCACCAAGGCCTTGTGTGCCGCTTACATAAATCACTTTATGGGCTTCGTCAGGCACCTAGATGTTGGTTTTCTAAACTCACCACAGCCCTGCGTGCGTATGGATTTAGTCCAAGGCCGACTACTCCTTGTTTACTATTGTGTGTGGTTCTACTGAACTCCGGGTCCTTATTTATGTGGATGATTTGGTGATCGCTGGTAATGATGATGCCTTTATTTCTCGCTTCAAAAAATACTTATCTGACTGTTTTCACATGAAGGACCTCGGACTCTTAAAATATTTCCTAGGCATTGAAGTTTCCCGCAATGCCAACGGGATGTTTCTGTCTCAAAGAAAGTATGCGTTGGATATTCTGTCTGAAACTGGAAACTTGGGGTGTCGACCCGCGGCAACCCCCCTTCCGACTAACCATCGCTTGGCTCTTGACGATGGGCCTCTTTTCTCTGATCCCTCACAGTATCGGCGTTTGGTTGGTCATCTTATCTATCTGACAATCACTCGTCTCGACCTCACTTACGTTGTCCACATCCTTTCTCAATTCATGGCCACCCCCCGTCAGGCGCATTGGGACGCTGCCATCCATGCGCTACGATATATCAAATTCAGACCTGGGCAAGGTTTATTCCTCTCTGCGAAAAGTCCTCTTCAGTTGATTGGCTATTGTGACTCCGACTGGGCTAGCTGTCCTCTAACAAGACGCTCTGTCTCCGAATATTTTGTTCAGATAGGAGACTCCCCCATCTCTTGGCGTACAAAGAAGCAAAAGACGGTGTCCCGCTCTTCCGTGGAGGCCGAGTATCGAGCAATGGCGACGACAGTTTGTGAGCTGAAATGGCTTCGGTCTCTCCTCAGTTCACTTGGCGTGAAGCATCCTGCACCTATGACCTTATTTTGTGATAATCAAGCGGC